CACCGTCGTTGATTGAACCAAATTGATCGGTCTCTATCGGCATATGGGCTCCTGTGCGGATGTCTCGATAATGCCTGTGTTTTAATCATACATAGTAATGATGGATAGTGTCTAGCAGTGGAATCCTATTTAGTTAAACTATCCGGGCATATTTTTCTGAGAGAGGATTACGATGAAATTTTCACTTTTTTTTCTTAAAATTTTTTAATTGATTACGATCATCCTTTTTAGTAGAGTGTGTCAGTTTTCGTGTTTACTGTTTAAAATACTGGAGACAGTAGTTTAAAGCAGTCTTCAGCGGTACCGCGGTTAACAATAGAGAGTGAAGTGGTTGAGTGTGTTGACCACTTCACTTACCTGGGAAGTAGGATCAACTCCGGTGGGTCAGTTGCCGATGAGATTTCTGCACGGATACAAAAGGCTCAATTGGCTTTCGCCAATTTGCGCCACCTATGGCGCCGCCGTGATATTCGTTTGTCTATTAAGGGTCGCGTGTACTGCACAGCAGTCCAGTCTGTTCTACTATACGGCTGTGAAACATGGCCATTGAAAGTGGAGGATACAAAAAGGCTTCAGGTGTTTGATCACCGTTGCCTTCGTAATATAGGACGTATTCCGTGGTGTCACCACGTGAGTAATGCAGAAGTCAGGTGTAGAGTTTTAGGGAGAAGAGGTAAGTCAGTTGACGAGGTTGTGAACCTTCATCGATTGAGATGGTTGGGACACATACTACGTATGCCTAGTCACCGATTGCCTCGTCACACAATGTTGGCTGAGGTGGGTCCAGGCTGGAAAAAGGCCCGAGGTGGCCAGACTAAAACATGGCACCAATGTATGAAGTCTCTGACTGTTGGTTTAAGCCATGTAGGACGATGCAGACTAGGTGGTTGGGGTCCACGGGACAAGAGGAACCAGTGGTTGGAGACCCCAGGTGATATGGCTCAGAACCGAAGTCAGTGGCGCAGATGTAAACACACATTATCCTCATCTTAACAACGCTATACCGAATCTCACCATTTTGTCACTCCTCTTTCCTTTCTTCTCGTACTTTATATTTCTTTTGACTGCATTCACTTATCTTCATCCTTCACCTCACTAACTTTTTACTTGATGTGCTGATATGAGCTGTGGCAACTCGGAGCGTTACGCAGTAATGCCTGGTCCTATGTTGATAATGATGATGATGATGAAAGCAGTTGATTTGAAATAACCAAAATCATTACTAGATTTTTATTAATCAAGTTCTTCAACTTCACTTTAATATGAAGTTCATGGATTTTCCAATTGAAATTACAGAACTTAAGGCCAAAGGACAGATATTTCGTCTCCATTCATTAATATTCAACAATGTGTCAACCCATAAATCCTCTCACTTTTTTTTCTCACTCCATCCCTATTAATAACAAATAGTAAAATTTTAAATGAAAATTGAAAGTGTACTTTAAGTAAATGTGTATAAAAGTTGAATAAACTACTCACAAATAATATATATATATACACTTAGTCTAATTGGAATTGAATCAGTCACCAAGTTATAGACGTACGTACATATGCGAAGAATTTGGCCACATAGTTAATACCTTGAAATTTTGTGTCTAAGCTTAACAGGGATGGTAATGTAATGACGTTGTTCAACAAACGTAATATGCTAGACATAAGCGTTTTCATTTAAGCACAGATAGTTTTTGTTAGCAACTTTTTTGTCTAGTCGTACGACACTTTGTATTTATTGTTTGTTTCTAAGTTTATTTACTTGAATATTGATAGTTTGTAATGTCTATGGTGTGTGTGTGTGTGTTCGTTGAAAAACAATGTAGGCCTATATGTTCTTATGTATCAGTGAGTGAGTATTCAATGTTTAATTGTTTATATGAATGTGTGTTGCACCATTGTTATTTGAAAAAAAAGCCCAAATGGTAATTGTAATATTTTAAATATGACTTGATTAAAAACAAAGTTAAGATTGTTTTCGGGACTGACAAAGGTGATAAGTTTTAATTGTTGAACGTAGATGGCAATCAGATTGAAGTTTTGCCCTTAGTGTGTTTGTGCTTCATCGAAGTCAGTTAGTCAATCCATATCAGTGTTGGACCTAACAACATCAAGCGAGAAGACATCAAGATGGAAAGATAGAGAAGTAGGGAAGGAAGTCATCAGAAGTCTTAGAACTTGAGGGAAAAAAAGAAAGAATGATAGGACTATGAGGCATGTTGCCTAGAGTCCCCAACCATCGGTTTCAGCTGTCATGTGAACCGCAACTTCCCCTATGAGAAGGGGTTTTTTAGAACAGGTCGACCCCAAAAGCACCCCACTCCCGCCTCCTCGTTCCATGTCGATGCTTACAACAGGAATTCATAGTCGAATTCAAAAGCAAAATGCCGTATGTGACCTGCCTCAAGCAGATGTCCCTTAGACACTGTGGTCACAAACTATCGCCTCTCTTCCGGGTACCTTCATGAAGTGGGTAACCGGGAAGCTTTCACTGTTCTTACACTTTCAGTAATACACAAGACTCAACCAAACATAACCTATCCTCCTCAACATTGGTAAAGATATTTGGTTAGTAAAGGTCATTGGATCTCTGCAACAACAATCACTCCATCAACACACACCTCTGCATCGTACATCGTAGCCAATACGGAAAAAATGTCAACGGGTACACAGATCTACATGATCAAATCAGAGTCCATGACCCACGACGCTGAGAGAACAACACAATACTCTCCACCACAGCAGGTTAGATCTCCACCAAATAGAGACGTCTCACCAAATTTCCTCTGCTGTCCTGTATGGTTTACACTGGTCGTCAGTTGCTCACACCGACCTATTTCTCACTGGATAATGAGGTGTTACCCTTTGCCATTCCAATCATTCGTCATTACCTCTTCCCTTGATGGCATCCACACCAACGAACAATACTCGACTGTTGAGTCTTATCCAAAGGCAGCGATATCGATCGAACGGGAGGGAAAAGAATGCTTCCGATGTCGATGACGCAAAATGCTAAATAACTGTAAACAGGTCACAGTGGAATGCTATCCAAGAGAATCCAGCACAATCAGACATGGTCAAGTTTATTGCAGTGAAATGCATGGCACTGGAGTGGATGCAGTTGAAGGGCGGTGAAGTGAATCGTATGGGGTGTGTTGTTTGTATTATTATACGGGAGGCGACATCGAGAAGTTTCTATGAAGATATCCCTGTAGGGGACTTTGAGATATCGCTCATGCCAGTGTGGAGGGATGAGGTGGCACGTCGAGTGTGGAAGGCATGGGGAAAGGGATAGCTGAAAGCGACGGTGAGGGGGAGAATGTGTGTGCATGTCGTAGTGAGTATATGACATGCGGAGTCAGCGGCAGCAGCAGAATGAGATAACAGAATAGACGTGGTATGAATGTGTAAAACAATGAAGGCGTAAACGTTTCACTCACTGCCTAAGGAGCTGAAAGGATGACTGATTGTCTGTTTGCACGTCTTATCCCTGTTAAGTCGATGAGAATAGACAGACCTCCATTAGTACGTCTATAGCAAAAGATTAGTGAGACTGAACATTTATGGTGTACACCATTGGACGTAGATAACTCGTCTGATACATCATCATAGACTGTGAAACACCCACGGCTGTTCGAGTACAGGGCCTTCAACTGAATGATATGCTTAGCCAGCACCCCTTTTATTGACAGACACTACTATTATGCTTCTTGATCGATAGAGTCGATTGCCACCTTCAGATCAAGAAATACAACTATTACTGGGCACCGATAGACGAGCCTATTTTCCGAGACCTGTACATAACCTTTACAAATGTCATCATTTAACATTGTAGATTAATGATTGAGGTGTTTTCTATACTTCTGAATTCCACTTACCACACTTTCGTTAGTCAGCTACTTAACTGTAACGAATTATGTTTGTAGTTGGTTTTAGTTGGTATGAGAATGCGGAATTCACATTTCATCTCACAGAAGGTTTGTATTCACCAGTGCATGTTGTATTTGACAGAATCCTTTAGTTACTTTCAGTATATAATTTCGAGTTTTATAAAGATTACCAGCACTCATTTCGAAACAACTGATATACCTTAAATGAGACGTAATACTTATCCTATCTCTCACTGCTAATGATTATCTCTTCCTATCGAAATTAAACTAACGATAGTTTCGATCTGAACTCACAATTGTCCGATGCACTACAGTTGTATTCTGTCAATACACTGTAGTGAATTAACAATACTAATTACAGGTTATAATATGAAAGTATACTTCTGAAGCAGATAGCAGTTAATATAGCTAGCCCCTTGAATGCTACGACACTGGTCTGTGTTTTTCAGATACAGTCGATTCATTATAAGTTGCAATTTTTGGTTTTAACATTTTCCACTAAATTGTGGCGATGTATGTGGGTAGTGGGTATTACTGAGGATGAAACCATAGGAGAACATCTGCCCAACGCTACCTGATAGTTAAATGGCTTTCAAAACTGGTGTCTGTGTGTAAACTAGTCAGATAGGCTTAATCTATTTGAAAAAAGCAAAGCTTTATCTTCATTTTCAAGTCATCAGTATCACAATATTTTTACTTGAGCTGAAAATATCCATTGGATTTTGATAGAGAGTGATATTCCCATCATCATCTACTTGTACGCATGCAAACTTCGCTGGCGGGATCTTCTCAAAGCTGGAAGAATTCATAGTTTGTTGGTGGTTGTCGGCAGTGAAATCAGTGACTCATGTTTCATTTTTACTTGGGAATTTCCAGCTAAATGTACCGGCATCCCAGGGAGTTATGTTATTCTCACTGGAACTCGAGCACGGTACCCATCACTTTCATCTGAGCATATTGACGCCTATCAGGGATATGACTTCAAGTTGTAGTCCTCACCAGATTCTAATCATTATGAATTGTTATGACGTCGATTGATTTGTAATAAGTCTCACCTTCACTATCTGACATAATTTTGCTTTGTTTCTTTCTCCTGTATCCTTCTTCTTTACTTAACAGGCTGGCAGTGGACGTGCCCCTTTAGAATCAGTCACATTTTCTCTACCAACAAATAGTAAGTTTATTCTTTATTCATTTTACTGATTTTCACTGCGGATACCTTTCGCGTGAAGCTAGTTACTACAATCAGGAGTACTCTGAAATCTGTTTTCCAAAATTGTTTGGTAAAACTGACTTAGTCATTTTCAGTGATACTGCAAAAGTTTTGCTTCATTTATATGATTGATTAAGTGTGAAAATTCCCATTTTTCAATAACAATAGTCTGCAGCACTGTCTAATAGGGAATTTTTCCTGCACTAATGATTTGCTTCCTCTGAATCCAGAAGGAGTATACTGCATCTGGTGGATTCTTGGCTAAACCTTTCGTGATACTAATGAATATCACTCTGTACTTTTGTCTGTGTGAGATTCATGTATGTTTTGGCCTCATCTACAGAATATAGATCTCTGACGTCAGATATGGTTATTTGAAATACCAGTCTCAGAGACCTGGAATCTCGATATCAGTACAGCTGATTGAGATTTTAAGCTGAACAGGTTGGCTGGGCGATGAAAGTATCACCTACATTGCTAGTTAGTGTTGGTGTTGATGATGTGTATACTGTGTCAGGCACATTATCTAAGTCAATCAATTCTGTGGAGTTAAATGAAATACTAGGGAATCACCGAAAGTTTTGCACCAAACGTTGTAACCTCATCCTACTCATAGCTACCTTACTGTGTTACCAATGTTACATGCTGTCAGTAGATGATGTATACTTCACCACTACATCTCTCAACTTCTCTTGTGATGGATGAAATCTCTGACATCGTCAGGGAATTTTATAGGTGGTTCTTCGTATACATATATATGCATAGTTCGATGCATAGGGATGTATACCTTGAGCAGTAAACAATGCCTATAGTTGTTTAATTCATATTCAGTATCATTTTCACCATCTGAGGTAGCCGTAGTTTGACGGACTCTTACTGATGCCGGGTGATGATCAAAGGCTAAAAGTTGTAGTAATGTGTCATGGGTAGTCTGGCAAGACCCTTCGTGGTTGGAGTGAAATAAAAATGTGATCAATCGTCAGGCCTCGTAGCTCAGTTAGTAGAGCACTGGGCCGGAAACCCCATACTTTCTGGTTCGAATCCCACCTTCAATCATCACCCAGTATTAATCCATATTCATGAATCACTTAGACTATAAGGTAGAAATTGGAGTAGGCGTTTTAGGAGGTTACTTGATGATCATCTGTCACAGAATCAATCGATGAATTAAAAAATGTTTACCTGATAAACACTCATTAGGACAAAATCTAACAAAAAAATTGAACATTAAATGCAAAAGATTGATTTCAAAGTATTCCCCGTAGATCAACATCAGTTAGAAAGCCATTGAACATCTGAGAGCACAGTATGAATTTTTCGATTTACTCCATTATTATTAATATTTTTCCCTTGGGTTCCTAGTGGAACATAGGGCTTCAGTAGTACATCTCCATTTCACTTTCTTCTCTGCTGTCTTTTGAACCTGGCATCACGACTGCCCACAAGCTTTCATTACTTCCTCACATGATCTCCTCCATGTTACCGTCGACTCTGACGCCCAACTCGTCATTTCCCATTTGGGTTCCACTCAAGAGTCTGACCTGGCGCTTGATGTCCCCGAATGGTCTTCTCAGTGTGCGTCCAATCCATCCCCATTTTTACTCTGACACTTCTTAACAATACATGCTCATGACTTTGTGAGATTTCAGCCCACGGCTATCATATCTTATGGCGATGAGGTAGCTGTGCGAATGTATCGAAGCTTCCAGCACATCCAGTTATCAGTGAACTCAGACAAAATGTAGAGGTAACAGAAGAAGGCGGCAGGCACAGTGTATTTCTAAGCTAAAAGTTATCCGACTTATATTCGTTAAAAAAAACAACATTACATCTAAATAAAACTTGTTTTGTGCGAAGCCAGAAAGACTACATTTGCAGAATAAAATGATAAATAAAATGGTCCTGGTTCGATTCAGATTTTCATCTCATCTTCAATCACCACCTAGTATAAATACTAGTCTGCCAAACCATGGCAGATAGTCAAATGAAAAAAAAATGGAGGAGAGGAACAATTAATTCTAGCTAACGGATTAAGTAACACTCAAAGAAATGATATCCATAAGAGTGAAGCCAACTCACTGAGTTGAAATCAGTAGGTGAGTAGTTTGACTATCTGAGATAGTCGTGGTTTAGCAGATTGGTATTGATACTGGACAACTGATTGAAGATGAAATGAAAATCTGGACCACTGCAGGATTTGAACCACCTTTGGGTTTCTGACTCGATGCTCTACCAACTCAGCTATTGGACCACATCTTAACTTGACTTCAATCATCGAGGGTTTCCATCTGAAACATCCTTATAAAGACAGATGATAAAATGAAAACAAACGGTTCAGCGAAGAGACTCTTTTCGACAATTTCATTTACAAATGCATTTATATTCGTACATCTTTTCAGTGAGAAAGTACAATTTGTTTCATAAAAACAATTAATCGCCTAGATAAATTTAAACGACTTAATGAGAAGATACATTTTAAACAACCTGACTGATCATACTTGAACTTGTCGAATAATTTCGGTAACCAATAGAATTATAAGAAAGATAACAAGGGGAGAATGAAAACAAGCAAAGGAAAATAATAATAAAAGGTCAAATCACCATCATTAATAGCATGAAGAGTTGAACTTACTACTACCATGGTAGGTTTAGTGTAAGTACAAAGTGTTTCTGAATACATAGAGGGGGTTTGATTTTATGCGTAGCAAGTGCTTCTAAGTATTTGTCCTTGACCATATCTATACAGTACAGTAAAAGCTTTCTTCATATTAATCTTATGACCAGTCTCTACTATGTGTATTGCTATTGATGAGGAAGGAGGTTTATCATCTGCACATATTAAACTTATAGAGGTCATTTGTTTCTGGAGTTATTTAGGCACATGCCCAACCATTCTTAACTGTATGTCACGATTACCCCTCCCTATGTATATGTGTCCACACAGATGTAAATTGATAGACATAATCGGATATGTGATACACTTATTCAAATGTTGTATAGGTTTGCGTTGAGGTATGGGCTTTGTGTTCTCCACTAAGATTGACTTTTGCCATGTAGTCTGACCTGATAACAACTGTTTTTAGCCTTTTCTATTCGATTCATCCCTGTTTGGCAATGTGATATACACATGTCTTAAGGATAAAATACTAATTACTCAGTGTTAACGTTATTGCCAATTTTATATCTGTTGATAAATTTTAATGGATATCCATTTTGCACTGATATATCCGTCAGAGATTCGACTTCCGTTTCTTCTATGTCATCTGTGCGAATACGATCAACTCTATCACATAAACACCTGACAAAGGCACGCTTGTATTGGGCTGGATGGTAACTGTGGCAACTGAGGCATTGTTCTGTCCAAGTCGACTTTCTGTGGATAGACCTGATTGAGCCATCCCCACCTTCGGCTAATCAGTACGTCTAAAAATTGTGGTTTGTATCTTAACGTCACGGAGAATTAGAGGACCGACATCCACGCCCCATTCAGGTTCGGACTGCATGTTGGACAGCTGAAGCGTTGCTCTGCTCCAGTCAAACTGTACTTCATAGTGTCCTGTCCAACTTCCTAGCCGCCTTTCCCGAGAGGTTATCAGTGTTCCAACGTTCTCGGTGATGGTTTCACTCCCCATCGTCTTCTTCTTGCTGGTATCCTTAATAAGCCTAGGTAGTTGCTGGGTTTTACCTAACGTTGATGCTCTCTCCACGTGTCTCGCTTTCACCACCCACCATTGTTCGCAATTGTTATCAAGATTCTTGGTCGATTTGCGTTAAAGTTACTTTCACCTTTTATCCTGGTCACAGCCAACTGGCATCAATCTTCTCTCATTCATCAGTTTGGATGACGTTACGAAAATCGAATGACGTTCTGTAGATTTCGGGTTTAGGCCACTAACTGTATTTATCTCTGTTTCCACAGCATATCTAATTTCACGCTAGGTTTCCTCAGGTTGAGCATTGATGTCTTGTTCAGATGAACGTTTAGCTATTTTCTCTCTAAATACGCATGTGACGTTCTCGTCTTCCAATGGAGCACAAACTGTACTTACTGTTGTCTGTTTTATTCAACAAGCGCAGCGCAGACACATACACAAACCCGTACTATCGTGTGGTCGGAGTTCAAAAAAGAGCGTCAACCTACCACCGATCCTCTCCGACGCTGCCTTACAGTAGTGTGATCTATCTGTATCCATCGTTGGTTTGAATTCGGCGGACGCCATAGGAGACAGTGTCTCTCCTAATGCTCGAAGTTAGTGCTAACCAGAAACATGCGATTACCAGAACAAAATTGCAACAGGCAATCACCGTTATCGGTTCGTTGGGATGGGATTCCGTAAATACTTCCCAGATTCCTCTCGGACTTGCTCAGCTTCCCTGATAGAGTGATAAAGTTACTTACCATCATGACCACATCTGAACGTTTCGCTTTCTGTAGAAAAATTGACAGCTTCATACTTTGCATTACTCGAAGTGTAGTCGATAGATGGGAAGACGTAGATTACGAATAGGGGTTGGTTGGTCGCATGATCCTTCCTAGGCCAGGTGAGGTCAATTTAATAACCACACTCGGATCCCGCAAACGTGTCTCAAAGACCCAGCACACACCCATGGCTAAAGATTCCAGAGTTCTGGTAAGCGATACTTGCTTTTCTATTCGGCATAGAGTTTGGACGTTGAATGCTCCTACATGAAATCGATGGCGGCATCTTTGGAGGCTATTACTGAGGTTTCGATTACTGTAATCGTTGGTAATGGTGCAAATAAGAGGTCTAATATTAGTCTTAGCAGGTCAAGCCAAAAGAGGAGACAGAGTTGAGGAAGATAGGTTATTTTTGATTATGTCCTGCATACCAATGGAAGCGTGCGGGCAGTTGACAGTTACCGGCTGCCCACACCGTGAAAGGGGGTGCAGACACATCCAGCTGACGAGCCACAAACAGGACAAAACGTGCGTTCTTGGTTCTGCTGCTAACCTTCAGGATGAATATAAAATAATGAATATCCAGCAGTACTAAGCCATCTGCATAGGAGCCTGTCTGGCGACAGAGTTGGAGCAATCCGACCCTGTTTAACAACAGGAAATGACAAATCTCAAGTAAAAACTGATACTTTTTGCACAAGTGGTGACTTTCGTACCACAGTGGCCTAATGAATATCGCTTTGGTATTCGAAGCTATGGGTACTGGGTTCTAGTCTCCATGGGAACAACATCAATCACTGGGGTGCAGGTACATTTAGTTGGCGAGTCCCAAATCGAGCGAAACCCACATCGTGGATTTCGCTGCTAGTCACCAAGATGAATTTCCTGATTTTTTCTGGAAAATGCACTTTTTTTGTTTTCTAGTGATAAAGCATTTTGTTCTCCTTTTCTCAACCACTACAGAATCGAATTCCTCCTTCAATGTATTGTCAGCAGATCCTCCACCATTGCCTGATCGTCCTCTATTAACAAGACCAGCTGTTCAAACGATGAATACGTCTGGTAGCGGTGGTGGTACTCGACCAACAACTTTAAGCACTCATAACACCAGCGATAATAGTAGCGGTAACCTTCTTGTTAGTGGCGGTATTAGTAATCATGATGATCTTGGTACTGCACGTGGAAGGACCATTACACCGGATGACGATGCACACACTCACAATATCAATAGTAGTATAAATAAGGAGAAGAAGCAATTAACTAGTCCAAGTATAACTTCACGCTTTGAATCCAGTCCTAATGTGATACGTAGTAGAACACGTCCTCTACCCCACTGCCTCCGACACCGGTTCGATCGTCATCAATTACGCGAACAGAGAATTTAACTACGGCTAATACTCAGTCGAAGCAGGTGGGGAATTCGACAAGTAGTAATTTGAATAATGGTCATGTGACGAATTCTGAATCAGCGCCTCCATTACCTGAAAGAAAAGTGAGTTGAATACTTTTCCTTTTTTCTCATAAATCGCTCTTATATGACTTTTAGCTTCCATAACTATGCTGTTTCATTGGTGTAAAACATTTTCTTTGAACTTGAGTATATTACTATTGGCTGTTGTTTATTCTGTCTGGCGTATATCCAGGTACATATACATATGCGATTGCTGAGCTGTATTGTTTTGCTACTGTAATAAATCTCTAAATATCACGAGTGTTCTGTCACTCTTCTCATATCAGACTGTCTATCAAAGTCATAACCCCGGTGCTTTTCTGTATTGGCCTATCAATAGTTAGGTGAATGGGATGTTTTAGGTGTCATGAAGGTGCTTACATTCACTTATTTGGAACACGTAGGTGCTGGGATTTTTCGAGGAAAACTCGTAGTCAGTTTGACTACCGAGGATTCCGTACTGTATCTGAAAATATTTTGTACTATGCAGTCCCATTCAACCAAATGATAGACGTTTTTAATTACACTTTAGTTCATGTCAGTCTAACTGTGTACAATGCATGATATGCACATTAAGAAAGAAGGTGTAAAGTATACACAGAAGGGTTGCATATAAAAATTCGATATATCTCCCTCTCTTGGTTAACAGTTATTGCGTAGCATGTTACTAACTATCCTCATATTATTCTCATATCCTCACTTAGCATGCGAGAGACATTGGAATCGATACTCAGGTACTATATGACCATGTATTGTCGACGGTTCAATGGCCGAATGTCCTTTTTTTGAGCAATGTTGAGGTCAGATAAAAGATACTAGGCAAGGCAAGCAAGTCGATTGACGAGCTTGTGAACCTTAGTGGACTGAGGTAGCTTAGACGTGTCGCCTATTTCCAGTCACTGCCTACCTACCTACCTAGGGGAAGTTGTATTACGTTGGAAGAGGGTCCATAGTGGCCAGATCCAAACTAGGCACAAGTTGGTGAAGTCTATAATCGTAGGTCTGAGTTGTGTGGGGGGATGTAGATTGCCTGGTTGGGGTACCCGAGACAAAACGAATCAGTGGTTGAGGACTCTTGGTGACATGACTGGAAATCGGTCCCAGTGGCGTAGATGTATTCACTTCTTGACATCTTCTGAAGCTTGAATATTCACACTAATCTTTATCTTCAGATAGTTTATTCTCTCAGGCAACTTTGTCTACTTTAATATTACTCCTTTTCAATCCACCTGTTCTTTGTATGCTACTGTGAAGTGTGGCAAATTGAGGTGATGCACCTGTGTATGAGGTTCTGCTTTGATTTCGTCAGTCAATCATACAACTGTTCATAATGTCTCAAATATCCTAATACAGGTGCCTACACATTTTTTAATCCATGATCAACACCAGTCATCAATGATCTGATGGTTTTTTCAACGCCTTTTTGTCGTCTTTTTCGTTTCTCCATTTCACCTATAAAATAGAATTACGCTTTGAATGGTGATGTTTGCAATATAACGCAATCATTAAACCCATGATCATCATAATAGACAAATAAAATTCCATAATATAACTGAACTTGTTTCAGGTTAGTGTACCAGGCTATGGGACGTACTTGTTGTTTGAGAGCTTATGCCGAGTTAAATGGGACTATGGGTTCCTATCTGAGAGCTTTTGACAACTCAAGCCAACGAATTACATCGCCACCATTGTATTTTCACTTCAAATCGATATAACTTATTTACTTCACAGAAGCCAAAAGTCTTGTAACACCCCCTCCCTTTAAACATGACCATTAAACATAAAGGATATGAGAAGGCTTCTGGTGTTTTCACTATTGTTGCTTTCATATCATAAACACTGTGTGTTATGATTTCACCGCATGAGTAATGCAGAAGTGAGGTGTACAGGTTTAGTCAGAAAAGGTAAGACAGCTGATGTGGTTGTGAACCTACATCGACTGAGATGGTTAGCTGGGACATGTGTTACGTATGTGTAGCCACCATCTGCCTCGTCGCACAATGTTGATCTAAGTATGTTCAGGCTGGAAAAAGGCTCGTGGAGACCAGACTAAAACAATGACATCGATGCATGAAGTCGTTTACTGTTGGTTTGAGCCATGTAAGGCGATGTACACTAGCTGGTTGGGATCCATGGGACAAAAGGAACTAGATATTGGGAACTGTAGGTGATAATGCTGAGAATTGGTGTCAGTGGCGCAGATGCATACACATATGATCCTTATGTTAACCGCTACACTTGATATCATCACCTTCTCATTCTTCCTTCCTCTCTTTTACTACTTTGTTACTCGTTTTGCTGCTATACGAGGTGTGGTAACTTGGACCGTTACACAGTAATGCATGGTCCTATATTAACATTGACTGATTTGATTGTTTTACATAATCAGATAGAAGAGGATGTTTAACATGCTCATACTGTATAACCTAAACGTAATTATGGAACCTGGAGTTTTATTTTATTTTTTAACTTTGCATCTGTTTTAAACCACCCAGAAAAGGTTGACGTTAAGTGAACAACAAGCCAGCAAGTTTGATGGCGGCCACGCTGCAACCAGTACTTTGGAGTATAATTTAGTAATAAGAATCACTTTAACTCTACTTAATGCATTACTACTACTTGAGTATTTGATTTCTTTGCTGACAATAGAAAACTTGTTGTTGTGTTCCTTTTTTTTTTCAATATCTCTTTCTAGAGTAAAGCCTCTTGTCCACCAGCTATATCAACAGGATGTCGAAGTCAAAATGATCCATCATCAGATTTTCCCTAATGGATTTATTATTATAATTATTCTAAATGTATACATAATTAACGTATGTAATACAATTATTGTTCTATCACTTGATTATCTATACATACCTATCTGGTCAATGTTATCACCTGCTAGATGATGAGGAGGTTGAAGAACATCAGTATTTTAAGCGTCATAATAAAGTGACTTTTGTATTACTCCCAGTCACTGCCATGCACACACACACACACACACACAAGATAAGCGAGTGTATGCGTGTGTGTGTGCTTTGTTCACATATACCTTCAACTTCAAGCAAAGTATATACCTTTCATCATGCCTTCATCACATTCTCTCTACTGCCCAATAACTCCTTGCTTTTATCAATTCCAATCTTACTGTTGTTAGGGTACTGAGAGCCGGTGATGATCGCTTCTCTCAATACTACTTATAATATAATATGATTCTTGTTATCCTTCAATCAGCAGTAGTATACCTCATTTCGCATCAATTTTTTATATATTATACATATTCATTTGTTTGTTTTTGTCTTTTATTTTCTTTTGAAGGTGGAAAACTGTTGACAATCATCTTGTTTGTTATTCTTATTATTACTATTATACCGATGGGGTTGTTTGTATTACCTTGGCATTTTTTCCCTCTCTCTGTGTGCTGTTACTATTACTGCTGTCAAGTTTTATGCCTTTCGTTGTTTGATTTCTTGCCAGTTGGTATTATCATCATCGTTTCATGGTGTACTTGTGAGTTCCCCTGTTGATTCAGTTGATCAGTTAGGTTGGTTGGTCTGTTTATTTGTATCCGATGAAAAGCAATGCATCATTTTTACAATTATTATGATTATCTATCTTTATGGGTGGTGGTATTTACTGGTTTACTCTAATTTATTTCTACTAGATTTCTGTCGATCTCAACTAATATACGATTATAACTATTTCCTATCATGAATCCCAATTGTGAAATATTCTGTTAATTGGCACTTGTATATTCAATTAAATTGAATAACTGTTGTTTTCATATATCTTATTCTGTAAATGTGATAGTCGATTAGTAACATACAGGTGAATGTGCAGCTCATCATCGGCTTAGGTAGCTGACTTTCAACCCCAGTGGGTTACGAGTTCGAATACCCCTCCGCCTACCGAGGTTTGCTTAGGCAGATATGATGATTAGCCCGCACACAAATAGGTGTGGCTCATCCCTAGTGCATGAATACCCGTAACGTTGCTGAATATGTTTTGTTCGTTCGTTCGTTCAGTATCCTACAGTCTGATTGTGTGTATTTTTAAAAATAGTTATACATTTAGTATTTGAGACGCTAGTGGATTGATAGACAAATGACTGAATGACTGAATCATTAGACTGTTGAATATTCATTTGGAAATTCAGGTGTATTTCTGTAATTGTGGTTTATTCAGTTTTTCAATAGTTTTCAGTCTAGCCGCACCTGTTTTATGAAGGCTAATGGTACTACCTGATTGCTGAAACCTTGGTAGGTAGGGTGGGATTGGAATCCGTGATCCATTGTTTGAAATTCATCTTCCTAAAACAATGTGTCGCAACTTCATATAGTAAAGTATTTTAATACTTTCCTAGTTCAACTGTTCCATACGGAGAATTACTGAATGGTTATATAGATAGCATTAGTGTCTTCCAGTCATTATGTTGTGTGTTTGTTTCACCTTATTTTTTCACTATATACTATCTCTTCATAATTCCACTCCGGTTAGTTACCGAAATCAAAGTAAAAGTCCATAGAACATTTCACGATTTTAAATGGTTTTAGTCAGTTGGTAAGAGATATCGAACCTGGATTGTATGTATGTCATCAAGCGGATATAATTCATATATGTCACCACTTTGTCCATATGAAAACATATTGATCGTCCATCGTTGTAATCAGATGTGGCACCATCTAAATATTTGAAATGTTAAGGAATAATGCAAAAGATTTGTTTCTTTCGCCGTTTGTTCTAATATACTACGCCAGGTTTACACAAGTAAAAATATACCTTATACAATGTATTCCTTTTATTCACTGATATTCTACAATGCGAGATATATGTACACCTAAGAAAGCTATTGCTCCCTCAATCTTATGAACCCAACTGACTGACTAACAAAATCAACGTAGAACCTCACATACAAGTGCATCGGCTTAAGTTCTTACACTTCAAAGCAGTAGAAAAAGAACAGGTGGATAGAAGAGGACTAATGTAAAAGTAGATAAAGTAGTGTGTTAGATAATAAACTATCTGAAGACAAAGGTTAGTGTAAATATTCAAGCTTTAGAAGATGTCAAGGAGTGAATATACGTGCGCCAATGTGATCCATTTTCAGCCATGTCACCAAGATTCCTCAACCATCGATTTCTTTTCGTTTCGACCAGTGCTTATGATCTCATCACGGTGCTATTTTTTGGCCGTGGACTAATCACTATGCATAATCAAATCAACCACTAATCAAATATTTAGATGGTGCCACATCTGATTACAACGATGGACGATCAATATGTTTTCATATGGACAAAGTGGTGACATATATGAATTATATCCGCTTGATGACATACATACAATCCAGGTTCGATATCTCTTACCAACTGACTAAAACCATTTAAAATCGTGAAATGTTCTATGGACTTTTACTTTGATTTCGGTAACTAACCGGAGTGGAATTATGAAGAGATAGTATATAGTGAAAAAATAAGGTGAAACAAACACACAACATAATGACTGGAAGACACTAATGCTATCTATATAACCATTCAGTAATTCTCCGTATGGAACAGTTGAACTAGGAAAGTATTAAAATACTTTACTATATGAAGTTGCGACACATTGTTTTAGGAAGATGAATTTCAAACAATGGATCACGGATTCCAATCCCACCCTACCTACCAAGGTTTCAGCAATCAGGTAGTACCATTAGCCTTCATAAAACAGGTGCGGCTAGACTGAAAACTATTGAAAAACTGAATAAACCACAATTACAGAAATACACCTGAATTTCCAAATGAATATTCAACAGTCTAATGATTCAGTCATTCAGTCATTTGTCTATCAATCCACTAGCGTCTCAAATACTAAATGTATAACTATTTTTAAAAATACACACAATCAGACTGTAGGATACTGAACGAACGAACGAACAAAACATATTCAGCAACGTTACGGGTATTCATGCACTAGGGGATGAGCCACACCTATTTGTGTGCGGGCTAATCATCATATCTGCCTAAGCAAACCTCGGTAGGCGGAGGGGTATTCGAACTCGTAACCCACTGGGGTTGAAAGTCAGCTACCTAAGCCGATGATGAGCTGCACATTCACCTGTATGTTACTAATCGACTATCACATTTACAGAATAAGATATATGAAAACAACAGTTATTCAATTTAATTGAATATACAAGTGCCAATTAACAGAATATTTCACAATTGGGATTCATGATAGGAAATAGTTATAATCGTATATTAGTTGAGATCGACAGAAATCTAGTAGAAATAAATTAGAGTAAACCAGTAAATACCACCACCCATAAAGATAGATAATCATAATAATTGTAAAAATGATGCATTGCTTTTCATCGGATACAAATAAACAGACCAACCAACCTAACTGATCAACTGAATCAACAGGGGAACTCACAAGTACACCATGAAACGATGATGATAATACCAACTGGCAAGAAATCAAACAACGAAAGGCATAAAACTTGACAGCAGTAATAGTAACAGCACACAGAGAGAGGGAAAAAATGCCAAGGTAATACAAACAACCCCATCGGTATAATAGTAATAATAAGAATAACAAACAAGATGATTGTCAACAGTTTTCCACCTTCAAAAGAAAATAAAAAGACAAAAACAAACAAATGAATATGTATAATATATGAAAAAATTGATGCGAAATGAGGTATACTACTGCTGATTGAAGGATAACAAGAATCATATTATATTATAAGTAGTATTGAGAGAAGCGATCATCACCGGCTCTCAGTACCCTAACAACAGTAAGATTGGAATTGATAAAAGCAAGGAGTTATTGGGCAGTAGAGAGAATGTGATGAAGGCATGATGAAAGGTATATACTTTGCTTGAAGTTGAAGGTATATGTGAACAAAGCACACACACACGCATACACTCGCTTATCTTGTGTGTGTGTGTGTGTGTGTGTGTGCATGGCAGTGACTTGGAGTAATATAAAAGACATTCTATTGTGACGAACTAAATTTTCCGCACCCTATTTTTGCTCCACCTTTTCTCGCGCAACTGTAAAAAGCCTCTCTGACCAGGTTGCTTATTCACTCTTCTATGTTACACCTATGCTTGCTCTATATCACGATTTAATTGGATGATTGTAAAGGTCATCAGCTTCTGTACCAAAACTTGAATGTTAACCAGATTCATACTCTTGACAAGGATCATCCTAGCAAGATCGAAACGTTGAGGAATCATACAAAATATTTGTTTATTTTGTTATTTGTTCTAATATACTACTCCGGGATCACACAAATAAAAGTACACCTAATACAATGTATTCTTATAATCTTGTAGAAACTTTTACTACTCTACATTTCACTGGCCAGGGGTATCCAAATAAATAACAAAGACTTCACGATAAACTCTTTCAATTCGAAATGCTTTGATTAAAACTTTTCACCACCCCTCGACGCCATCCCAGCTATGAAATTCTCACGATGTTAACAACGGATTCCCACCACACTTCACAGACAAGAACATCAAGCCTAAACCGCGCAAAGAGAACCTTACCACCTCTCCAAAAGAAGACACTGTAAGAATCTAAACTTCAAAGGGGATTCTGGCGTAGACACTCAAAAAAAGGATATCAAACGCTCTAAGGAGAAAGCTCTTTGCATGAACGCTGAGACTAGTACACTCTTGTCGCCCAATGATTTCTAACAACTCCAAGGAGAAACTTTCACATCTGATCACTTCTGTGTGCATATATCAATTTACCTGCTTTTGTGGAGCCTAGTATGCAGATCGTTCTATGCTACTGTTATCCAAAAGGGTTCAAGAAAACTATCCAGCGTGGTTACAAAGAGTTAACAATGGAGCAGTAAAGAGTGCTGTAATCGAACACATCGTGTAGACGAATCACCCGATTTCAAGAACCTTCTCGGTCAAAATCATCTATAAAGTGAAAAGAAACCTTCTAAAAGCTGTATGTCTTCGTATTCTCTGCATCCCCGAAGCTCTTGCCACCCAAATGGAGAAACCTGAACTGTATACACAAAAGAAGATTGTTCAACCTCTTCGCCTTTCATGGTCTTAGTTTTCAGTCTTTAGAATCTCCTTCCCCCCCCCCTTTTCTTTTAATTCTTGTCCAAACTTATTTTGATAATATTCACCACTCATCAGTTTTTTTAAAATTTTAATGACAAGCTCACATGATTGACACTGTGTCGCTGACTATGCTCGATAAACTGTTCCTGACTATCAAATCCTTACACGTACTATTTATTATTATTTATCCCTTGGGTTCCTAATGTAACCTACGGCTTCTTTACAGTCTTTCCAACCTGGCTCCATCACTGCCCACAAGCTTTCATTTCTTCCTCACATGATTTCCTCCATGTCACCCTCCTGTCGGACGCCAAACTGGTCGTTTCCTATTTGGATTCCACTCGAGAACCTTGTCTGGCAAGTGATATCGCTGAATATTCTTCCCCAATTCATCTCCTCTTTCTTCTGCATGTTTGTTGGGCGATAGGTTCTTTGTTGGTTCATTGCCAGCCAGAGTGAGTTCCTTGTTTCTCATTCTTTCTGGCCATCTGATTGATCTTCAGTATCGAGTGACCGTAGGGTTCAGCTGTTCATCATGTATATCTGTAGTTTGTTGGAAATATTTTTCGTAAGGCATCAAGTCTCTCAACCATCACATAGAAGCACTCACTCACTTGACTGACATTAATAGCGTCAAAAATCCGGATCCTGTTCTTTGTGCTGAGTGTAGTCGTTTCCGATGCGGGTGCCACTTGAGGGCCTGGCGTG